CCCCCCCCCCCCCCCCCCCCTTGAAGTTTCCCCCTTGCGTCACGGTGTTTGCCATCGTGGTTGTGTTTTCGTCGCGAGGCAACGACGTCGTAAAACAAGCCGATCGCTTCGTGAGCTCGACAACCAGGTTACCGCTTTTTTTGCTGCCGCTGGTTTTTCTTCGCGGTAATAACAACGGTGGTCGAGTAGATTACGTTGTTCGGGACCGACAACCCTCACTCCACACAAAGGGGATGATCGCACCACGTTGTGTTTAATTGGTCAAGCACCCTCGAGGCAGTCACACAGTGCTTATAAATGTCTCTAGAAGTAAAAGCGCCAGAAACAAAGCATGCCATTTGCAGCTATCATCCGTTTGCAGGGAAGTAAGCACAATATGCCGAACACCTTTAGCAGGATGCAGCGCACCCTCCATGCGACTCGCCGAATATAGCACGGCGCTTCGCGCTTGGTGCTGTGAGAGCCTGGTCCGGTGAGAACCCGGCGTGCTCCGTTCCGGCTTTGTAGGGATGCGAGGTCATCGGTCTAACGAATATGGCAGGCATGAGTATGAGTATACCCCGCCGTCCCCCCTCCATGTCGTCTCACCCACTGGAGCTGAGACCAACGCTCCTCTGAGGCCCAGCGCTCTTGATGCTGGCCACCACGCTGTACGTCGTTCCTTCTCCGACATCTCGCCCGCATATTTGCGACGCATGACGAACCATACGCCTCGCATGCTTCTCGACGCGCACGAGTTCGCCCCGAAGTTTTCGCTGCTGGTCCCTTTGTTCGATCCCTACACACACGAAGAAAACAAAAAAAAAACGTGAACCGCAGTGAATTTTCGAGTGCTGCGTGCTCATGAAGCCTGCGGTCGACGAGGTCTTACGGCCTGACAAACAGTTGTGGATTCAACACAGCGAGAAGAATTCCCCGGAGGACCAGTTCTGGATCATCAAGTAGGTACGGTATGCAAAGTTATCTGGGTATGTGCCAAACTTGAACAACCGCGCAGGGCTGCCGTCCATTGAAGGTACATGGGAGAATCATTTGACCGGAAGATGGACGAGCGAACGCTATTCGACACTCGTACCGGTGAGAATAATTTGTCACTACTCGCACTTGTTCAAAGAACCGAGTGCGTGCAATGGTGCATAGACTATGCAATATATATTTCAATGTTCGTTTCCCAGATTTTGCCGCCGAGCGCCATCACAACTACTAGGACCAAATCAGGTGACTTCCAACGCATGCAGTTTCTGGGTTCAAGATGGCAACACATGCCGTTCCTGGGTTCCGATGTGTGAATAGCACCCGCCAACGGCAACTTTGCGCCACGTTGAGCGCAATAGACCAGCGTTCGAAAATATTATCGCGTTTCGATTGAGATCGCGATACACAGAACGTTGACCACTCGGGGGGGGAAACGATTTGGTCGAGCTTGCGCTTCAGATCCAAATGTAATTGTACAGTACTTGAAGTGCAGCACGAAGTGTGTTGAAGACAAGGTGTCACGCACAGAGTCCACATGTCATGAAAATGTTTTTCGAAATTGGTCGCCGCGGCTGTTTTCCTCACATTCTTCACGGCTATGCTTTAAATGTAATTCTCGCTTCTCCGCGAGAATGCAGCGCTCCCTGACCGTCAGACCGCCGGCATGGCCGTATACGCGACACCCGACCCTGCTCGCAGATTGGTGGAAGGCATCCGCCACTGAGTCGACTGCGCGGAGGCTCGCTGGGAGCTGAAACCTGCGAATCCGCGACAGAGCAGTAGTCGTGGTTAACCAGCAACGGTGATGATCAAAGCGTGTGAACGATAATATACAGTCGACCCCGCTTTAAGGACGCTCACGTTAAGGAAACTCCCCGCTTCAAGGAAACTTGTTTAGCTGAGCACCGGCCCCGGCAGTATATACGATAATGGGGTACCCCCATTCTTCTGCTGCGTACCCCCCTTATTTTGTGTCCTGCGGGCCTGCGGGCCGCTCTTTGCACGAACCACGCACCACAGTGAGTGCAGAAGTAGCGACGCACAGACAGCAGAAGTAGCGGCGGTCTGCTGCTGCAGCTGCAACTGGGTGTTGGTATGGATGGATTCCTCCCATCTACGGGCGGTCCATCTGATGCCGCCAAAAAAAGAGTCGTGCATAACCTCGTCCCTCACCGAGGCCGAGGTTGTCTCTCGCTTGTAGGACGTTCGAAAATACAGATGGCGCCCGCAGTTAAAATCGGCTCGAGCCTCACCAATCCCTCCTTTTGGGCCGAAGTACCGGCCCAAGTCGTCCATTTCGTAAATGGCATTTCTTCTTCCTTTGAACTGCTGTCGCATCCTCCCGATTCCCTTATTCCTTGGACCACAACAAGTACTTCGTATTTTCTTTTTTCTATCTTTTGATCTCTGAGGACAATCCACATCATCAAGCCCTCAAGAGAGGTGGTGGAGAATGTCATCAAACCCGTACAACAGCGGAGAGCGTATGGTTGTGGCCGAGATTGAGCTACTTGTATGTTGCTTAGCCCTTTTTTCGTATTTTTCGTACAAATGGAGCCATTTTTTTTTAAATGTTTCTTATTTTTCGTACAATGTGGAGCCTTTTTCCTTAACAGAATTTTTCTTAACTGCGGGCGCTATCTGCATTTGTACGCGAAGGGAAGGGGTGGCGAGTACCGTGAGACGCAGTACTTTCTTTCGCAAAGACCGATCATCCGTTTACTCATGAAACTCAACAGAGCCGTAGAGCCAAGCCGCGGGGGGAGGTTCAGCGAACTCTTCGCGACATGTGGAAGGAAAAGCCATCAGGGTAGCTTTTGGTCTCCGCCGGGACAGTGATATGTGCTGGTGTTCCTCGGTACGACGCTGAAATACGCTCGGGTTTTTTTGTTTCACAAGAATGAGATAAATATATGTCTCCTTGGACTTTCCTCCTTCTTCCGCTGCCGGCGATGCAGTACATTAGTTGGCCATGTACAAACTGGTGTACTTTAGTTGTTTTCAACACGTCCCTGACTGCTGTACATCTCATTTCAAGTACTGTAAATATGTTCGACGTCAACAAACGGTTGCCAGTCGCCTCGGCGACGCTAATTTTTTGTACCACCCCCTTCCTTAGCAAAAGACGCGTAGTTTGAGGAATAGCATGCCTCCATTGGCCCTGGGGATGGTGAGCTATCGTCCCCTGAATTTCAAAGACGCAACCCCGCTTTAAGCACGCTATTTTTCAGGGAAAACCATGTGCGTCCTTAAAGCGGGGTCAACTGTATACGTATAACACCCACCATTTCAATACAAGCTGGTCTGACCAAGAAGCGAATTTGAAGGTTGGAGCGGATTCCCCACGCGGTTTTTTCGAATTAGAACCTGAAATTTTGACACGCGATCTGCATGAGTACAACAGCAATATAAACCAATGCACCATTGGGATTTTTGTTTTTCATGAGTTAGGCTGATATTAGTGTTCATGGGAATACTTGCCATGCAAAAAAGTCGCAGAAAAAAAAGAACAAAATCAAATGGCGCAGTGGCTTGTTTGTTCGTTGTATTCATGAGGATGCCATGTCCAAATTTCAGGTTCTAGTCCGAAAAAACCTCATGGGAACCGCGAATCCTCACATTCTCTCAGGTATCTTGTGTGTTGTATCGGATTCTTTACGAGGCCAGAACTTTCGATGGAAGATGCCGTGAGCCTTGAAACTACCATCTATCCTCTCGCGATGTTCCCCGGGTACATGCACAGCAATTTTCAGCTTGACCTGAGAAACTTTTTTAATGCTGATTGCGGTGCAGAGGAAGTATCCCCCACTATGCCGCTAATGGACAATCAGTCTACACACCTAAATCAACCCAGATCCGAATATTTCCGGCACCTGCGCTTCCCCTATGGTCTTATGAGAGCAGCCGCCAAATTTGAAGTCTAACTTAGCAGAGTGGGACGTGAAAGAACGAAAGTTAGCTTCTTGGTCAGACCAGCTTGTACTAATATAATCATGTTACAATACAGCCCCAGTTCCCATCCTAATCGACTCGAGCACCCTCGCTCCCCTTTCTCCCGGCAGAACAGCAGTCATCCCACACAGCCTGGAGCACGTACGCGTTGAGCGTCCCAGCAGTCATTCGTAGAGGTCCACCACCGCCAGCCGCCAGGAATTGAAGAACACACGAGGGCCAGGTTGTGCGTAGGCATATCTGGCGAAAGAGAAGCGCCGATCCCTCAACCGGTATCAACTACGCCGCGTCGCCGTTTATATTGTTCTTCTTGAAGTTGTCATATTTTTCGCTTGTCCTTTTGAGGCCCTCCCTCCGGACACCTGACACACGCGCACCGACACCTGCTCCTCGTAAGCGAAAGCAGGCACCACGTCACACACTCGAGCAATATCAATGATGAACTCGCGGCAACAACGCTGCAGCAGACGGCCTGCTGCTTGCTGTTTAATTGTTGCCTTGCAGGGGCTGCAGGGGCAATCGTTTGTTGCGCCGTCATGTTTCCTCAACGCGCAGCGGGCGAGCTTCACCCAGGCAGCAGGGCAACAACAAACAACATCACGTGCGGCAGCAGCGCGACCCGTTTCGTCTCTCAACTCCGTGCCATTTTTGGCCGCATCGCAGGAGCAGGCAAAACCTCCTGGACAGTGGTCACCCGTACGACCTGGTGGCAAAGTTCCTGACCAAAATGACAACGACGATCATGAGTTCAACATCAACGTCGGGCGCGCAATGGACTACCTTGCTGCTGATGTTGCGCTGATGTTTTCCACGGCGCCCAGGCTCGAGATTTTTACTCCTGACGTCCGCCTGAAGGTGAGAGAGCTCAAGGCTGCCGATGTTATCTGTTCACCCACCGAAATTGGTTGGGGGGGGGGTGTTGTGTGGAGGAATCGGTAATGCGGAGTGTTGTCCAATTCAGACTCGAGTCAGCCTCCGAAGACGCTGGCTCTTACTGTGGGTCAAATATACCTGCTGGACTTCTGTAAATGACAGGGGCCGTCGTTTTGCAGAGTTCGCCCTCTTTCGCGTGGATGCATCGTCTCAAAGTGACACTGCGGCCTGGCATGTTCGCATAGTGCAGGAGACGTACTGAGCAAGCAGCAGCACAAAGCAATTTTTTTAATACCCCGTTATTCCGTTACTGCTGTTGTCTAACCTTTCCCAGCAAGTAATATTTGCCCACCTCTTACACACGTGCCTGATGATACTTGCGATCCGTGATCGGTTTTACGACGAAAGCTACGATGTAACACTGAAAAATTGTTCTCCATGGTACAGCTGTAGACTATGTGTGTCGTGTATTTCCGGTCAAATCTGTACCAGCAGCACATGGGTTCCGAGAATCGCGTCCGGAAAATTGTCCGACCTTACTACTGTACATGTTTCCTTCATCAGCGCTATTCCGCAAACACTGCGCGTAGATGTCCCGCCTAATGTCTTTGGCTGAGTCGCGTGTATTCCAAATAATTGATGCCAGTTCCTTTGCGTGTTCGTGCCGCGCACGTATATTGATGATGCCGAAACCACGTTCGCATACATATTGTTGACAATATCCCGCCATACATCGCCCATACTTGTTACACATAGGGCCCTTGGAAGAAAAATTGATGCTACAAGTAGCGTTGACATTTTTTTCCGTGCCGTGCATCCTAACCTGCTATGCATATGCCCTATGCATATGCCCCCCCTTGCGGAAACACGTTCACTCGAAACTAGTTTTTCTGATGAATCCCTCTAGAGAAAACACAACCAAACCGTGCCTCTCTCTCTGTAACAAATCAGGATCCGGTGGGAGAGCTTTGTCACGGGCGGCGGCTGTACGGAGCCCTTCACACGTCTCTCCGCGTGTTAGCGGCCGTCACAACCTCTAGTCCTCGCGTTGGCGTGACCAGCATCATGTTTTACCCAGAAAAGCGGGAGATCGAGCTAAAGTGGACCATGACAGCGAGCGCGCCGTTCATGGGTGACCCTGTCAAGGTGCGGTCAATCACCAACATGTTGGAGATTTGTGTGTGGGAGCCGCGCAAGCTTGGGGCTGGTGTGGGAGTTGTGACGCACTCCCATCATCCATAAGTGTGTGACGGTACTACGCATCCCCCTCCCGAGTTGTTGCTGTTGTCATTCATGGTAACGGTGCTCCTTCGCCAACCACAGATCCTCTTTGCGCCTGTTGTGTTCGGATGACGGTTGTGTACGCGAGAGACCCTTGGGAAACCTGGACCCACGTTTTGTGTCTCACCACGCTTCTACCGCAGTTGATACTCAGTGTCAGCTCAAGAAAAAGGCACCCTGTTCACAGCGTGTATTTTGCACTTGTAAAGCTGTTGGATGACTTTGGGGGGAACGAACCCAAGGTGATATGGCTGTGCCGATCCGATCCACATATGGCGCAAATACAGCCAAGGATTGCCTATGGAAGTGCTGTAAATTCGTGAAGCTTGTACGTACACTATGTCATGTCCTGTGGTACAAAACAGCAAACTTTTGACACCGAGGCGAGCACTCAATTGGATCCTTGTCGTGGGCTCTTGCTTTTGCTTTGTTTGCAACCTAGGGAACCCAATCGATGATAAACCGCTATATGCGGTTTGTGTGCATTCCGTGAAGAGCTGAGGCGCATCGCGCAGAATGACCCTTTTTTGGTGTCCCCTTCGATGACCCCGTCTTCATATTCGCCACCCACATGTGCTTGCCCCCCCCATACACACAAGCACGGCAACTGATATAAGACCTCCTTCTGGGCCCACCTATGCCGACACCTTGCTTATTGCCGTGCGTGTGACCGAAGCTGAGCGCGGTGTCGCTCTACGACTTGAACGATCACGGCTTGATCTACCAGCACAGCATCGACAACCGGATCAAGAGGGACCTCTGGGAGTACTCGCACTCGTGGATGGGCGTGCTCAAGGCGGATAGTCCCCCCTCTTTGTGATCTATCGGCTACTGGTGCGCGCTCTTGTTGTCTACTCTCGCTTGAGGAGCAGCAAGAGGAGGAAGCGGGAGCTGAGGGATGTGTGGGAAACAAGGGGGGGGCGAGAGAGAGAGTTTGGAAGACAATACTCTAGCTTCCGGAAGGGCAAGAGGAGGGAGCGTAGGCTCAGGGATGTATGGGAAGCAGCGGTGGGCGGGAGAGCGTTTGGGACACGCCGGGAGACCGTGCAATCTAAGCATGGGTGACCAAGCCCTGCTACCCAGCAACGTAGCTGGCGCCACGCTCGTTGGCGGGCTCCGCACATCGGGCTTGGCTTCAGCTCGTTTTTTTACTTGCCGCGGCAACGCACGTCTCCTTTGTGGCGAGAGAGGAGCACGGCAAGAACAAGAGCAAGTGCTGAAGGGACAAGGAGCTGTCTTGTCGTCTTAACTGCTGTGGCGTGCTTCGTCGACTGTACGGGCGGCTCCGAAAACACGCGAAACATTGGTGTAGTGCTCGACTGTGCTGTCGCCCGTTGACTCGGCAGGTGGGGGCCGACGAGGATTTGTGCTGGGTAAGTCATGGACTAGTATTCAGGCACGCGTAGGTTATTGGAGTATTTTGATCCTCGCAGGGTAAACGCTTTTCTGAGGGTGCCCATTCGACGTTGAATATCACGTAGATTTTGTTGGGGTAAGTTGTCTGTGGTCTGTTGCTGTGTTGTGGGCAGAGTTGGATTGGAATTGCCTCTTTTTGCGGTATACTTTGTATGTTCGTAATTTGTCGAGCGGCATCGTCTCTTCATTATATTAGAGGTGTGAGGATAGCGCGATGTATCGACTATGCTGTGTTCCTTGTTCACATCGGTTCCTTTTGTGACATGGTCTACCATACGCGTCTGTGGATGATGCAGGAACCATGCCATTGCTTGCTGTTGTCTACCAATGTTTCTCGAGCTTGACATATCTGCACATGTGTTGTGATAACGAAGAACATTCCTATCAGGAAGCATTGACAACAAGTGCTGGCGACCTAGTGCGCTCCACGGCGTGAAATTGGTGTCGGAGGAGTAAGCGAACGTTGTGTTTGAAGAGGCGAAAGCAGGAGAGCCTATAGTCGACGCATTGTTTTTGACTGAGCAGAGCAATGCTTTCGTGTTGCATTGTGGTAGAGAAATGGTGCGTACATATATATTATTAGACGCAACAGTGGCAGGAGTATCACCGGGGGACTGAGGTGATCGCGTCGTGGGTGTGTTAAGCTCGTGCCCATTTGAAACGTTGATTTGGAACCTAGCCATTGTGTGTCTACCATCTGTGTCTTGATGGTAAGGAGCCGCGGAGCTTGAGGGGTGATTTCATCGTGGTGTGTGTTGCGCTCGTGTGCGTTTAGACGTTGACCTGGAACCAATCAATTTATTATTTTCCTTGTCCGTCTATTTATTGTGTTCGGTTGGTTTTTTCCACGAAACAAGGCAGAACCATTAGGCTAAATCCATCTCTTTCAATGCAGCTAGTTGCTGTGGATGGACGAGCGTATAGATGATGGTGGTGCTTCGGTCGTGATAATATCACGAATATAATATGTAGAATGCGTTGACACGTCCATGCGACGAAATGGTGTGGTCACGTGTATTACGTACGGATTGCATGACAACAAACAAGCGTTAGTTTCCGCATGCAAACGTTAGGGTGAGGCCATGAGGCTACAGAAACACAAGCTGATAGCGACCTGCCTGGGAGATCCCTCCCGACCAGAGGCAGCATCGATACCAGTCATCCATTGGAGACTCCATCAACAAGTATGCCTCTGCTGTTACCGTTGAGCACCCACGCGCAGATCTGCTGCAAAAGAGGGGGTTTTCAGCCGAATTCCGTACTATTCCTTGCATTTAACGCATTGCTGCTACTCTTTGTACGCAACTGCAGGCGTGGATATGTTTGAATTTTTTTTTCTTCACGGCGTGTTTGGCATGTTCATACGTAGGCGTGGTTCTTGACAGGTATAGGGAAGGGATAATCAACATAAACACGTTAAGCCCCCAGGCACGGGCGAAATATAGCCAGAAAAATGGCGTAAGCATTTGAGCTCAGCCACTGGTACTACTATACGATGCTACACAAAAAAACCTCTTGACTATACGTTCTGGGTTCGGGATCGCTGAGGCACATCTGCGAGGTTAACCACTAGATCACCGGTCGCCCCAGTGATCTAGTGGGTAACCTCGCAGCCTGCTAAGGGCCAGGTCATGGGTTCGAGTCCCGGCAGAGCGAGTTTTTTTCTCCCTAAAACATATCCTGGTCTAGGATGAAAGCGAACGCGTTGCAAAGCTCGTTGTTAGTAAACCATCATCGACTTTGTAAGTCGCGAGGGAAGGGATTGCTGTACCCTTCTCGCGATAAAAATACCTCAGGCATGAACCGCAGGAGGGGGTCCAGCCCCCCCCTCCTATGTGACCCCGGCTGGGTCGTCTAGCTAGTAGAAGTGGAGGATAGGGGCCAGAGGGGCAGACGACAGAATCCGATGATGGGGGGTGTACTCATAGTCGTGCATGCCGTAGTCGTTAGACCATTGACCTCGCATCCCTACAAAGCCGGGACGGAGCACGCCGGGTTCTCATCGGACCAGGCTCTCACATCACCAAGCGCGAAGCGCCGTGAGATATTCGGCGAGTCGCATGAAGGGTGCGCTGCATCCTGCTAAGGGTGTTCAGCATCTTGTGCTTACTTCCTTGCGTACGGATGACAACTGCGTATTTGGGGGGGGGGGGAGAAAACGAAAAAAAGTAGCATGGCGTTCGAGCCTTCCTTACTAAACAGTTCTTGTTTTTGAGCTGGGGCTGGCAGTGAATCAGGTACAGACCAGTGGACGGCACACCACCGGCTTCCTCCGGCGAAGGTGTACCGGTTCGAGGTAAACGTCAATGGACGGATACCCTGCGAATCGGGTCCTCCTTAAACAACACTCTCCACCCACAGAATATACCCTCAACTGGGAACCTCTTGTGGCCAGGACGGGTAATTCGATAGGAAGTGCCATCGATATTTTGTAGGATCAACTCCAAAAAAGAACGTGGCTTCCATGCGGTGGGAGCTTCAACAAAAGATCTACTACCTACTACGGAAGGATATCGGCCAACATTTGAACATCCTGGCGCCATCTGAATCAATCATAGAACGGGCCCGGAAGCAAAAAGCGTTAAAATCGGGTCGAGCCTCAGTATCTTTATTTTGGGCAGAAGGACCAGCCGAAGTCAGCCCAATTTCTGTCACGTCCTGCTCATCTCTTGTTTCCTTATGTTATTTTTTCTGGCAAAGACAGCAACACACAAGAACACCATCAGTACAGCAGCAGCAGCACTGGCTGGTGGTTATGGCGCAGCCCGCGGCGGCGCGGCGGTGCGGGGGCAGCCGCAAAAATATCCTTTCCCCCTTACCAATAAATATTACATGAGCTAGGTAGGGGTCGGGAGCATAGCAGCAGCAGCATCATCAGTGGGACAGTTGTTTCTTATTGTACGCACTCCCCCATTTACCCGTCTTGTTTCTTACGTCTTGGGGGTATCGCAAGGTAATGTTTGTTTATAATGTTGTTGTGGCCGAGATCGAGCTGAGTTCCAGACTTAGCCCTGTTTTCTTATTATTAGTAAATAGTTGCGCCAACTTTTCTCAACATAGACTTTATTCAAATTGTCTCTTCCGTGAAATTGCAGGATTTTTACTCCTCTTACGGCGCACCACAGGCCAGCATTTCCAGGTCCGTCCGTCATCTCGTTCTTTGCTCTCCCCGTCACTTCAAGTGCAATTGACCGAGGCCATTGCCGCTGTCTTCAGTCCCTCTGCACCCAGTGATTTCGGGTCCTGCACTCACTCCCAGTCAGTGCTTCAATCAGTCAGGGCTCCCGTTTGGCGCAGCATTCTACACCTCGCATGCTCACTCCCTCTTTGTTTGCACTCATCGATCAGCAGTCATCCTCGCATGCCCCGCATTCAACCATCATCGGTGCTGTCATCCACGTCATCACCCACGCGTTTCCGCGAGCAGATATCCCTCTCTTTCCTTGTCCCTCTCTTCTTCTTTCTCTCTCACGCTCTCTCTCTACTCGCTTTCTCTCTCATTCTCTCTCATTCTCGCTCATTCTCGCTCATATGTTCATACAGCAGTAGTCACCTGCTCTGTAGTCCAACAACTCAGTCGCTCGGTGACAATCTCCTCGTTTCGATCAGTATTTTTGTATAGTCTGCAGTCATCCAATATAACTCAGTCTCGGTGAAATCCATGTGTGTGTACGCACACACGGGATTCATGTGTACGCACACCAGACAGCAAGTCCATGTGTACCGCGCACTGCAATCTATGTGTAGGCACATACATGCAGGATTTTCGTCTTTGATGTGTCTGCAGTCATCCGCTGCGAGGGCCAGATATAGCTCAGTGGATCCATGTATTCGCACACACAGGAAGGCACGGAGAAGCGGAAATTATTCGATCTTGAGTCGTCGTCAGGTCGTCGTGGAATCGCAAGATATCAACCCCAAGATATCAAAACCATGAGCGACGCCGCTTCTCGACGCCGCCCGCACACATTTGGTTGCACGCACGCACACGCTCCTCACTCCTCAAGCTCTCCCACATCACACTCTTACCCAGCCTTTGTTGAGTATCGCTCCTGCTCTTCTCTTTCGTAGATGTCTGAAAGGCGCAACCAACATCTTTCAGACGGTTGCCTCTCCTGGCAGCAGCGCCAAGCAAGCGCAAAACTTCCGACTACGTGTGTATTTGGCGAAGTCCTCAGAAAGTAGTGTGTAAACAAACTCCGATTGTGACGGGGCCGACTTGACCCGTTGCTGCGCGACCTTCGGCGGTTGAGCGAATTACGCCAAGAACATCTGTAAGATTTCCGTGCTATCACTGGAGTTTCCCTGCACTATCTACCTAGTGGACATCACTCCCGGGATCCCCTGCCTCGGCGTCCCCAACCCTGCTGCGCCCAGTTGGGGAAATACTAGTTATTTTAAACTGTTGTTGTGTAGCCACCCGTCGTTCCGTAACTTTTGACGATTTGTTACTGGGGGTGTCCCTGGCATAGCCCGTCAATCAGATTGATTGTCGTTCGGTTCGAGGTTCTTTTTCATTTGTTTTAGCCATAGTTCACGTTAGAAACTCATCTCACCGACATGGGGAAAATCATATCACACGCAAATATCTCGTGACGAATTCCTCTCGGGAGCGGTGAAAAAAGCTGCGACACTGCNTTGACCCGTTGCTGCGCGACCTTCGGCGGTTGAGCGAATTACGCCAAGAACATCTGTAAGATTTCCGTGCTATCACTGGAGTTTCCCTGCACTATCTACCTAGTGGACATCACTCCCGGGATCCCCTGCCTCGGCGTCCCCAACCCTGCTGCGCCCAGTTGGGGAAATACTAGTTATTTTAAACTGTTGTTGTGTAGCCACCCGTCGTTCCGTAACTTTTGACGATTTGTTACTGGGGGTGTCCCTGGCATAGCCCGTCAATCAGATTGATTGTCGTTCGGTTCGAGGTTCTTTTTCATTTGTTTTAGCCATAGTTCACGTTAGAAACTCATCTCACCGACATGGGGAAAATCATATCACACGCAAATATCTCGTGACGAATTCCTCTCGGGAGCGGTGAAAAAAGCTGCGACACTGCATGCATTCAGCCGGTCATGCCAAAACACATGATGAACGAACGAACGTCGTCGGATAAAGAATGTGACACAAACATCACATCCTCGATACCCACGTCTCATCAGTTGTATCTCTAGCAAAAAACGTGTCTTCAGCACAAAAACAAGTATCTTGGAATCGCTTCTCTAAAGCGTGGCGGCGGAAGCCACCGAAACCCTTGTAATTTTTGCGGGCTATCTCTATCGCGGCGAACGAACGAGGAAGACGGCCTGCCCGTGGTACGCGTGGATGCTGCGGGGAGCGGAGAAGTTCATGATTCTCCGGGCACAAGGACAAAGAGGCGGCCAGTCAACTGCTGTGTGCTTGCGACTAATCGGGGCAGCGAAGGGTTCAGCAACGACGCTACAGTTGTGTGGCTGTTTTTTTATCGAGGGGGCGGGTGATTCGCTTGATAGCAATCAAGAGACATGCAGTGCATGGGATGGTATGGATGTCGGGGGGAACATAAAAAAGTGTCTAGACTAGCCTACAGCAGAAGTATTTGTACATCGATTGTTTACGAAAATGGAGCACGCACATCACCAGACTGACAATCGTGGTTCTACACGAACAAAGGTGAAGTGGGTCCACAAATTCGCAGTAGGTTGTAGTGCGGAGAAGTGGCATGGCAAATGCCTACATACAACACTGAGGTGATGTAGGCAAGGCAATGGATCTCTCAGGATCGCGGTTGGTTGTTGTGTGTTGTTGCTGGATTCTTCTGGTTCCTTGTGTTCAGATATCGCGTGCAGCTGCAGCCGCTGCGCCCGTTCGACAAAGCTGTGGAAGGTGCTGTGAGCTAAGGTCGGACAGTTTTTTCGAAGAATGAACCCGCTACCTGTAAAGACGACGTAGTCTAATGCTGTAGATGTTGGGGTGCAACTCTCTCTCCCTCTCCTTGATGAACAAATGGATCACCGCTCGTTGATTTGCGGCAACACTAACTGACTTGCCCTCCCTGTGTCGTATGCATGCGCAAACAATCACTGGTACGAAAGTTCGCCTGTGGGGCCACTCTTGTTCTTTCTTTCTCGCACCCATCTGGCCGCCGTCATGAGAAGACGTCGTCGCTGCAGTTCCCCGGAGGTGCGGTGGAATTTCGCTCACAGTCCCCGATCTCATAGTTCCCATATGACGTCATTCATGTCGAAAAAGGTTTTTTTTTGCGGGGGGAATACACACACGGTCGCCCCGGTGGTCTAGAGGGTAGCCTCGCAGCCTGCTAAGGGCCAGGTCATAGGTTCGAGTCCCGGCAGGGAGAGTTTTTTTCTCACTAAATAAATCCTGGTCTAGGATGAAAGCGACGCGCTGCAAAGCTCGTTTGTTAGTAAACCATAATCGACTTCGTAAGTCGCGAGGGAAGGGATTGCTGTACCCTTCTCGCGATAAAAATACCTCAGGCATGAACCGCAGGAGGGGGGTCCAACCCCCCCCTCCTATGTGACCCCGGTTGGGTCGTCTAGCCAGTAGAAGTGGAGGATAGGGGCCAGAGGGGCAGACGGCAGAGTCCAATGATGGGAGAGAAACAAAAACAAACAAAAACATACTGCTGTATATGGAATCCCAATGTATCCCTGCTCCGCTGACGTGGTTCTATTTTTTTCGAATTCCGAATCCCTATGCAAGGGCGCGGTCCACCTCCCCCACATCACAGCACATTCACCGCACTACCACTGGCAGCAGGGAAAAACCTGCCCGAAGCCGTAGTCCGGCCCGTCAAACCAGCGTAAAGTCCGTACGCAGGGGGAGAGATATGAGCGCCAAGGCTCGCTGGAGTTACAACAAGAAGGTGCGTGGTGTGTGTCCACTGCTGCGGTCGGTGTACCTTCGCGCCAACAATCCCTTGTTTTTTACTCGATCCCTCAACCATCGGATTGTTGGTCGGCGGGACCGATTACAGAGCGAGACTCGGCCTCCCCGCGGCTGTCTCTCACGCCGCCGTACGCACGCTTCCGCATGTGGCGTGTCCAATGCTGCCGGTATTGCTTGCAGTAGTTTAATTTTTCGTGTCTCGGCAGCCGAAGTGTTTCGCTGCTGCCTAAGCATGTGTTGATGATGCAACGTCGGCTCACAGTCGTGAATGGATTGATCTCCACGCAGAAACGCATGCTTATTTTCGTTCATGGCTGACAATCTCCAACCTGTGTTGACGTATGTACCCTCGTCATTGTTGTTGTGCATCCAGCGCACCGTCGAATTTTTACCCCATGACCAGGCCAGCTGCCCTGACTTGCTGCGTGATTGTTATGGTCCCTATCTAGCATGCGGGTAATAGATTACAGCAGTATCCGGGAAGTTGACGGAGAGATATGCATACAATCAAATTCAGTCTTTCTTGCCATCCTTCCTGCGCATTTACCGATCGTACTTTTTCATCCCCACATCTGACGCGTTTGAGTCCGTTTAACCCAGGCAAATGAGCCACGTCATGTAAGGGGTTCTTGAATTCGTGGGGAGGGGGGGGGATGAATATGTTGTGTGTGCGTGCGTGTGCCCTATCAATGCCCTTGGTGGGCTACCCTTGTATGTTGAAGCAGATGCCCCAACATGTGTCCATATTTGAAGCGGGATCCCTTTGCCAGCAGTCATTCTCACATATCATGTTGTCAATGACACACGGAATCAGCGCAATGCTGATGTACGCCCGTACTGCTGCACTTGCCATCCTTAGATTGACGTTTACACTCGTAATATCCAACCCAGTAGCGTTCAGTCCGTGGACATCTTACCGGCACATGCATGTGAGGGAGCAGGGACGGGGCGAAGGGGGGCAAGGGGGCAACCAGCCTCTTCCGCGAGAGTGTCTGTTGAGGATAGCAACGCCACCGCTACAGAACGTTTCGCGATGAAATAACCCCCGTACGTCGACGTCGTGATACGGCATTTTCTCGAACGTCTACCTCAGGCTCTCTTTGATGTTGACATGTGTTATACACGTACATGCAAGTACGTACCTGGATTTTTCTTCAAAATACCCATCTACTGTCTGTACTTGAAGAGTTTTTCACGAAGCGCGTGTATCCGATGTTTGTTGACTAGTCTTCTTATGTATCCTTTTGTGGCCTGCTGTTTGAAAGAGGGGAAGCTCGTGCGCCCTCGGATGACACACAGCGCAAAACCAAATGTCGTCTCCGTGTAGGGCACGGCGGAGTTTGGTGATTGCTGACACCGGGGCCATTTGTGAGTGTACAGCAGTCTTGTCTTCTGATCACAACAATATCATAGTAACTCGTGACCCGATGACACGTGAGTGGCGACCTCCCCCTTCCTTCCTTTCCTCTCCTCTCCCTCTTCTATTGATGCAATGAATGGCAAATGACCCCCCCTCCCTCCCCCGGCTTCGTTCGAGCAGTTCGCTACCCAGGCTCGGTCAATCTAAGCGCAAGGCACCGACACCGCTGCAGAGCAGAGAAACGAAGAATAACACACAACAGACGAAGACTACAAGATCTCTCTACGAGGAGGACGTTGCCTAGCACGAAAACCCCGCCGCCAACCGACCTCGCGGCGGCACCTCAAGCCACGCGCCCGCCGGGGCCGAGACAGCCCAGCAGCAGCGGCCGCCAGGGTACACAAGCAAGGCACCGCAAGCCCTCCCCCAGATTGCAGTAGTACGGAGACGCTGCGACGGCGATCAGCATCATGTCGACGTCTCACGCGATCCTCCGCCTAGCATCTCGCGGCCCCAGCACCGGTGGTCGTCGCCGGCTCCTAACCTCCGCCGCCGCCTCGTATGGCAGCGCTTCGAGAAATGCTACTGCGGCGTCAGCAGCGGTTGGACAATACGGTGTCGCGACGAACGGGAACAACCGGTTATTTTCCTTGTCGACGGCGGCGGCGGCTCCGTCTGTGACCCAGACTCCGACTCGGGGTCCGACTCCCAGGTAAACGGTCAGGTTGTATCGCGGGTATACTTTCGCATCTGGATGATGACTGCTTATTTCGTCTACGGCAAGACAATGGAGCATGCGTCCTTGTGAGGACGGAGGAATGGGGGGGAGGGGCGGGGTCGGAAGTGGGTGGTGTTTTTGTTGCAAATTTTGCGACGCAATGTCGTATGCAACGGTTTGTTCGATAAAGCCAGCGGCGCACCCGCGCGCGGGAAGTCAAGGGTCAACTCCTAATTGTACAACAAGCCCAAAAACCCTGTGTGACTAACTCCGTTTGTACAACAAAACAAAAGGCGTGTGTGCTGCTGTTGTGGCTGCTCTCATTCTCACATGATTTGTCCGTCCCCGCTCCCCAAACTTCGGTATGGACGTGATGCGCCCGAAAAGCAGCCCTGCGTCTGCTACCGAGTTTGACACCGACTTGCTGGTGATTGGCTGTGGCATCGCGGGCGCCTCCGCGGCCCTCCAGGCAGCCAGGCTGGGCATGACGGTAACCATGCTCTCCTCTGCCCGCAACGTGGACGACTGCAACTCGTTCTGGGCCCAGGGTGGCATCATCTACAAGGCCGAGGTACGGGTCTATTGTTTTGTCTAAAGACGAAGGTGGTCATTTCTATTTGCCCTTGGCGTTGATTCCTATTCATTGTACGCTCGTAGAGATCGCTGGCTCCTGCGGGCTTGTGTACGCAGTGCAGATGTTTCGCTTTTTTTCGAACCGACGTGGCTGGGTGCCAAGGGTCTTGTTTCTTTCTTTGCACAGCGGATATGCTGCGCAACGCGCTGGTGTCGCACCTCACGTCTGCTTAGGGTTTCTGCTATGCTCGCCCGCCCCCGCCCCCCCTGAACGGTTTGATCCATCGACACGACCCACTTGACACTTTGTTCCTGCACTTGGGCTGTCATGGCGCCACCACGTATTGTGAAATTTCCCGACATACTTGATTCCCTTCCCCAAGAACCACCCCACGCCAACCCCGAACACTCTCCCTTCATTCATTCTTCAGGACGACTCGCCGGATCTACTCGCCTCGGATGTCCACGCTGCGGGTGCGGGCCTCTGCAACGATCCCGCGGTCATGAAGCTGGCCGAGGAAGGGCCCGGCAGGGTGGAGCAGGTGCTCCTCCGCGGCACCTCTGAGGTGAGAGCCGGAGAAGAGAGAGTTGAAGAGGGCGGGCACAAAAAGAGAGGGGAGGGGGGAGAGGCTGGCGAAGGCGACAACGACGGTAGCATATGTCAAATTTCTCCTAGCAGGCGAGACTGCCAGCCAGTTTTTCTTGTGTACGGCGGTACCGACTCTGGGTCTCACCACTATGCATGTAGAGCCCCTTCGTAACGTCTCAGTCCGCCTGCATCTCCCCCCGCGTAACTGGATAGGTTCCGTTCGACCGAGATGCCGATGGCCGCTTGTCGCTGTGCCTCGAGGCTTCTCACAACCGCGCTCGCATCATCCACTGGCGCGACGAGACCGGCAAGGCCATCACCACTACCGTACAGGTACGAGTTTAGATACGAAGGGTCACCTAGGCACGTATGCACGTGGGCGTACTAACGCAGGCGGTGGTGGCGGCGAAGAAGCAAGGATTTGTTAAAACTGGCATCACGTTATCAACAAAGGTAGGAGATGTGAAAACTGAAGGTGCAGGATAACTGTTGATCGTTTCAGTTCCCACCACCAACTACGACCTCGCTGCGTTGGCTCTCCACTTTGGTTTCCCCGGCGCGGCTCGGTTGCCACGCAGAGAAATGTGTCGTGATCGTCCTTTTCCCCTGAACCTTGTGTTTTTCTGTCCCTGGAGGGCATGTCTTGACTTAACGCGGCCCAGTTTCTGTTACTACACTGACGGATGTCTACACCGCACCTGAGTCTCCGTGCGAACAGCCGAGACATCGTTATGCTACACATTACACGCACGTGGAACGCATCTGAGACACGCCTGTCTGCGTGCACCCCCTTTCTCTGCTGTGTGACATCACCAACGCACAGGCCGCAGCCGCGCAGCACCCGAACATCCGCATGATGACGAGCACCACGGCGGTGGACCTGGCCCTCGCGGCTGGCCAGTGCGTTGGCGCGCACGTTCTGATCCAGGTATGCTATGCCCTTCACCCATAGGATGCGCCGAACCGTCGCATCTCTCTTGTCCGGGCCGCCGCCCGGTTTTGGTCCCACGTTTTTTTTTGTAACAACGCCTTTGGCTTTTCACTTTTTGTTCGAGGGCTCTGGGTTCTGAGCAGAAGAATGTTCGTGCGTGTACCAGGTATGTTGGCTGACCTGTGAGTCTTTGCGCGCAGGCAGCTACAACGTTGCGTCATGCCGCGCCACCACTCCGCGTGGGAAAGCTACGTTCCTCTTTTCGTTTGTGCGGCCCCCTTACAAGCCCAGCGCCCCCCCCGCCCCCCGCGCGCTCTTCTTGGGTGCGCTCGCCTTAAAAACATATTCCGTACCTGCGTTTGGTGGCTCTCAGGATTCCGGCATGAACGGTGGCAGCGGGATGGACCGCGGCGGCGGCTACCACCTAAAGACCATCCGCGCGCCGGCGACCGTCCTCGCGACGGGGGGGCTGGGCGACCTGTACGCGCATACGTCCAACCCCGCGAGCGCCAAGGGCGCCGGCTTCGCGATGGCGCTGCGCGCGGGAGCCGTCCTGTCCGGCATGGAGTACGTCCAGTTCCACCCGACCACGCTCCACATCCCGGGGCAACGGAGCTTCCTGCTGACGGAGGCGCTCAGGGGGGAAGGCGCGAGGCTCGTCGACCGCAGGGGGCGTTGCTTCGCCAAGAATTACCACCCGGACGGCGAGGTGAGAACACGGACGATGGACGGACGGACGTAGTGCGCTGATGCGTGTTCGGGATCACTGCTACGGCTTCTGCAACTCGTACTATCGCAACTGGCGGTCCGCGTCATGTTTTTTGGCGTTTTGTTTGCTTTTCCTCCGCTTTCGACCGAAGAACTGCCTTTGTCGCCCTGCCCTCCTCTCACTCCGCTTCCTACGTGCGTATGTCGCTTCCCTCCTCCCCGCCTTCACCTATATATATAACCAGCTCGCCCCGCGGGACGTCGTGAGCCGGACCATCCTCAGCGAGATGCGCCTCCAGAGGGCCCCCCACATGTATCTCGACATCTCGCACCGTCCCGCGGACTGGATCCGGGGCCGTTTCCCTTCCATCTACGAGCACTGCCTGAGGCAGGGGCTCGACATGACCGTGCAGCCGCTCCCGGTGGTGCCCGCAGCGCACTACTTCTGCGGCGGCGTCGCGACCGACCTGACGGGGCGTACGACCGTACCCGGACTGTTCGCTGCCGGTGAGAAGAAAGCGCATGACCCACAGTAGTTACTTCGCTTCGAAGTAGTTCAAATTTGTCGTGGGCCCGTTGTCCGTGTGTGTCAGATATGTAAAGATGGAAGAAATTGCTTTTTTTTGCATAAAAAATGGAAAGCATGTTTCGTGCGCGTTTGTTGGGGTTGTGGATCTCGCCTGGGTTATATTAGGTCTACCCAAAAATGCGACTGGTGTCCTTGCTATAGATCGGGACTGAATCGCCACTGCTGCCTCTTTTCCACGCATGCTTAAACACACACCCATACCACGCCCGCTGCTCGTTCGCAGGGGAAGTCGCCTGCACCGGTCTTCACGGCGCCAACCGCCTGGCGTCGACCTCCTTGCTGGAGGGCCTCGTCTGGGGCTGCTCGATCGCTGACCACCTCGCCGACCGCGGCAACAAGGACTCAAAGGACGGGCTGGCGGCGTCGGCCGAGATGGCCGCTCTCGCGCCGCCGAGGGTCCCGGGGACCGCTGCGAGCGGGGGTGGTCCGGTGGCGTCGGCCAAGGCTCTCTCTTCCGCCTGGAAGGATCTTAGGTGTGTCAGCGTGTGTTTTTTGTTGGCATCGACCGCGCTACCCAACCGGCGGGCCAATAAAAAAGACATCAGTCTCAGTGCGGCTGAACTCAAGAAACTTGCGTGGGTTTATGTAGGCGGCACAGACCGCGCTCGCTGACATAGTGGCCAACGAGAAGATGACACTCCCGTGTAGCAAAAGTGCGAATATTGCAAGAGCGCCTGGTTCGGGTATCCGCGTGATATAAACGGCACGTGTGTGTGTTTGTACTTCGTGGTTGCAAGTTTCACGCTGACCGGGCCACATCGTTGCAACCATAAAATAGTAGAAAGTTCGTTCGAAGACCCACAGCCCAGCGTTACAGAGTAGACCTACACCATATGTTCTTTTTTGAGGACCTACTGCCAAGCGGAAGAGCCTACTGCTTAGCGCCATCTCTGGCTACGATTCGTTAAGCGGAGTTTCAGTAGTCCACCCATCCAGGTTCTGACGTGACCACACGAACCACGAAACTGCGTCACTGCAGTCAACCCATCTCAACGTAGTTTTGACGTGCCTTTTGCTGCGGTGCCCCCCCCCCCCCCCCCCCCCCCCCCCCCCCCCCCCCCCCCCCCCCCCCCCCCCCCCCCCCCC